AAGTCTTTTTCACTTCCAGGAAGCAAGTTTGTATCAGCTGCATATCACAGGTTGCTAATGAGTCTTTCTCCAATCTTGATGACAACTTCTTCTTCATATAAATCCAGCTTTTCAGATTATTTGTTCAGCATACAGATTGAATAAGTATTGTGAAAAGATACATCCTGGTGCACACCTTTCTGTTCTAGCCACTGACTCTTGGTCTAGGTACAGGTTCCTCATAAGCACAATTAAGTTTTCTTGAATACCTATTATTCACAACATTATCAACAGCTTGTCATGATCCACTCAGTTGACGGCCTTTGCATAACAAATAAAGTACAAGTAGACATCTTTCTGGTATTCTCTGCTTTCAGCCAAGATCCATCCAATGTCTGCAATAATATCCCTCATTCCATGTACTCTTCCCTGTCAAAGGACTGTTGCAACCATTTTTAAATTATCTTCATCAAAATTTTACTTGCATGTGATATTAATGATATTTATTGTTCAATGATTTCCCCATTCCATTGGGTCACCTCTCTTTGGAATGGAATCTCTTCAAATCAGTTAGCCAGGCAGCAATCTTGCAAATTTTTGGCATAGGAAATCATCAAAAATGAAGTAGAATGCATTAAGATCGATAATCTATGTATTAGTAAAGATGGCTGTTTTGGTAGCTGAAGTTTTCTTTTTTCCCGGACCAGCACTTACAGGCCCATCAATCTGAAGCTATCATATTAGGTAGCAGCAACTTCACAGCTGAGGTCAAACCCTAAGCTGCACTGTCAACAGCCACATGAAGGATTACCTCAAATTGTCTCCAAATAATATGGTGTTGTTGCTAAGTGCCATCAAGTCAGTTCTGACTCATAATGACTTTGTATAGGATTTCAGAGGAAAGACTGGTGAGTCTGAATCACTGACCTTGCAGTTAGTAGTTCCGTGCTTATCCAGTGGCACCACACCAGGACTCCGCAAAACAATGTAAGTGATGTATTATCATAAACTTATGTTTTCTAGTAGACTGGTGGTGCCGTTTAACAAATACTATTTAATACAAACATATCTAAGATGTGAAAGGACTCATGATGTGGCACTGTATTTTAAGCACTGGACGACTAACCACAAGGTTGGTGATTCAAACCCATCGTCACTCCGTGGAAACCCTACACAGGATGGCTATGAATTGGAAGCAACTCGAAGGCACCTAACAACAGCAACAAGATGTGAAAACAGAATTTTCATTATCTTCTTAATCAATGGATTGCTCAGAATAAGTTAACAAGAAATGAATTAAAATCATGACAAAAAGGCAGAACCCAGAAAACTTAACCTCTTACTTTGAGTCTCAAAACTTGGGTCAATGACTTCACATGCCAGGAGTTCCCTTCCTCAAAACCCAACATGTCTACTGTCCTTGGCCTCCATGTGTTTGGTGCCCATGTGGATGGAGTAGTTTACACATATGGAAATAATAGTAGTATCATTTAATTATGGTAATTAGGTTATGTGCTAATAGGAGATAGAAGATCTTACAACATCACAGTACATTCCAGAGCCAAGCCAAAATGTCTCCCCTTCCCACCCACTCAAAAGCACTGGCACATCCCACACAGAGGAGCAGGTAAAGCCCACACTGACCTCCCAGTCAGACATCTCCGCAAAGAATAGGATGCTCCTCCCCCACAGGTCCGGGAGCAGTCACTCCAGTCGCTCCAAGCATCCCAATTGCCATCTTTGTCTTCATCAGAACGTGTGTTTCTTGAGGTCTAGGATATGAAAAATCACAATAAATTGTACACAAATGTGATAGAAAAGTTTCAAAGCATTTCATTTTCCAGAATCTTATTCAAGTTGTTGAAGAAGACCATAGTTGCCTG